TAAAAAAACTCAAAGAAGATATAATTAAAATAAACATGTCACATAATGTATTCACCCAAAGAAGAGTGAACAAGGTAAAATAGATAAAAAGATAATAAAAAAATATTTCGAGCTAAGGAAGAAGTTAGGAGTAAGTCAGTGGAAAAAAAAACAACAAAAAAATAACTATAGACTGGTTCCGCAAACAAAAAACCAACATAATTTCCAATTTATATAGCTATATATAAAAGAATTCTACCTTTCTATAACATAACCCATGCTAGATAAGGCCAACTCCTCAGCTCGAGAAAAATAAAAAAAATAGACACTAGCGTAATAATTATTAAACACTCCCGAAAATCACTGTTATTCCACAATGAAGACACATGAAGAAAGAAAGAAGGAATATTTGACACTGCAATGGGAAGTTTTGATGGTGCAAGAGCTGTGCGATTATCGGTATCCATTTGCTACGCAAAGTAAGTAAAATAATCGATAAAAATGTATATAGATCACTACAGAGACAACGGTCTCATGTTCTTAAGAAGCTGTAACAAACATAACACAGACAAAACAAGAAAACAAATTAAAATTTTTTTTTAATAAGGGATTCAATATAGGCATAAAAACTAACCTAAACGAAGTACATTTTCTAGATATCAGCTTCAACCTAATAAAACCATACATATAAACCATACAGAAAACCCAATGATAACCTAATATATATACACGCGTCATACAACCACCGCCATAAATAATTAAGCAGACACCACAATCAATTAACGCCAGGCTTTCCAACAATTCTTCCAGTGGGACTATATTCAACGAAACCAAGAAAGACTATGAAGCAGGTCTAAAGAATAGTGGACTTTTTAATTTATATTAAGTTTACAGTAAGACAAATACTTTGTTTCAAATTTAGTTTTAAATATCTCAAAAACATCCTGAATTGAGGAAATCGATTTTATTTCAAGTTGAAGTGAGAGGTTTCTGGAAGTGAGGTTTTGAAGTTCCGTGCAGTTTGTGATTTGAAGAACTCAGTTTTCTGTCTGAATTGGATTTCAAAAAAAGTCGGTCTTTCAATGGAATTGGACTTATATCATATCAGATGTAAGGTTTTTCAAATTCTATATTGGTTAATTGATTGAAATTCAATATTATTTCTTTAGAATTATCATTACTGTTTTCTAAGCTTGACCAGAGGTCCTTTTTTAGTTTTAGGTCAATTAGCCATCCACAGTAATATATTAAGTGAATTATGTTACTCTTTTAGCTCATTAACAAGTCTATAGTTTTGTTTGTTTGTTGTTTTTAACTCTGATTCTGTCTCTATGTTCAATTTTGGCGAAAAATTACGGATTAAATGTAAAAAAATTCGATTTATTTGTGTTCTTCCTTCCTTTCACCCCCCCCACTTTTTTTTAGCTTGGCGTTTGTTTGTTTGTTTCTTTCTTTCTTTTCATTAGCTTGACGTTTTCTACCTTCCTTCCTTTCTTTTTATTAGCTAGGCATTTTCTTTCTTTCTTTCTTTTTATTATCTTAGCATTTTCTTTCTTTCTTTCTTTTTATTAGCTTGGCATTTTCTTTCTTTCTTTCTTTTTATTAGCTTAGCATTTTCTTTCTTTCTTTCTTTCTTTCTTCCTTTCTTTCTTTTTATTAGCTTGGCATTTTCTTTCTTTCTTTCTTTTTATTTGCCTAGCATTTTCTTTCTTTCTTTTTATTAGCTTGGCGTTTTCTTTCTTTCTTTTTCTATTCTTTCTTTCTTTCTTTCTTTCTTTCTTTCTTTCTTTTAATTAGTTTGGTATTATCTTCCTTCCTTTCTTTCCTTCTATTATCTGGGCGTTTTCTTTCTTTCTTTTCTTTTATTTTTATTTATTTTTTAATTTTTCTTTCTTTTAAAATTTTATTTATTTTTATTTTTTCTTTCTTTTTATTGGCGTATTCTTTCTTTCTTTCATTTTTCTTTCTTTCCATTAGCTCGTCTTTTTTGCGTTCGTTTCTTTTCAAAAATTATTTTAAAATAAATCTTTTAATCTTTCCATTTATTAGCTTGGAGTTTTCTTTCTTTCTTTTTATTGGCGTATTCTTTCTTTCTTTCTTTCTTTCTTTCCATTAGCTTGTCGTTTTTTTCGTTCCTTTCTTTCTTTTTTTTAAGTCTTAATAACAATCTTTCTTTATTCCTTTCTTTCTTTCATTCTTTCTTTTAATTAGTTTGGCGTTTTCTTCCTTCCTTTCTTTCCTTCTATTAGCTTGGCATTTTCTTTCTTTTCTTTTCTTTTCTTAGCTTGGCGTTTTCTTTTTTTTCTTAGCGTATTCGTTCTTTCGATCTTTTTCTTGGTGTATTTCTTCCTTTCTTTCTTTCTTTCTTTCTTTCTTTTCATTAGCTTGGCGTTTTTTCTTCTTTCTTCCTTCATTTTCTCCTTCATTCTTTTTTTTTAATTTCTTTTTTTCTCCCGTTACTTTTTCTGCTTTTCATTCCAATTTTCTTTTCATTTTTCTCTATCTTTTCTATAATTCATGAAATATTTTCATTGCATTATTCATTAAGTTGCTTTTTTTCCCTCCTTTACTCAGTTTCTCATCAGCAAACAAAATACCATATATATTTATGAAAAAACCTATATACACACCCATTGGCTCTTCTCGTCACCGGGCATACCGGATAAATATTTCCCGCCAAACAAACCAATTCACTTCCTTCGAACAATCCCTCAACAAATCACCGATCTATTTGTTCAACAAATGCTGGCAGATGGCCGGCGGCCGACGGCTATCGGGCAGAATGAACGGGGTCGATAAAAAAAAAAATATTGACGTCGGCAAATGTTTTGGTGGATAGAAAATAAATCCAAGTGAATTCTTGTTAAATCTTTTGGTACAATTACTTCTTGTTCTTCGCAAATGAGTCTTGAAATAATTGAAGTAAAAATTAATAAAAAGAAAGAAAGAAGAAATAGACAACAATACGAAGAACAAAGGAAGAAAAAAAAGAAGAAAAAGAAGTATAGACAGAAAAAAGTTTAGGAATGTCTCGATTAGTGTGGATAATGTATATAAACGGTAACTATAAAAAGAATCAATTTTCAATTACTATCACTAAACTGAAGAATGTTTTACCGCACTAATCGAATAATATGTATGTACTAATCGAATTTTGGTATATAAAAATTTTAGCGCGCCAATGGAAAACGCGTTAATCGAGGGATGCTTGTATAGAAACAAAAAAAAGGAGAAAATGAAGAAAGAAAAGAACAAAATAGAAAAATGTAACAATTAAAAAAGAAGAAAAAAATATTTCTGTCTTTCTTTCTTTTTCTTTCTTCATTCATTCATTCTTTTCTTTCTTTCTTTTTCTTTCTTTCTTTTTTCTTTCTTTCCGTCTTTCTTTATTTTATTTCTTTCTTCAAGGTGTCCTTCTTTTTATCATTTCTTTTCTTTATAATTTTTCTTTCTTTTTATTATCTTAATTTTTCCTCTCTTTTCATTTGCTTTGTTTCTTTTTTTTCTTTTATTATCTTGGCATTTTCTTCTTATTTTCTTTCTTTCTTTTTTTTTCTTTCTTTCTTTCTTTTTACTTTCTTTCTTTCTTTCTTTCTTTTTTCTTTATTTCTTATTTTCTTTCTTTCTTTATTTCTTAATTTCATGCTTTCTTTCTTTTTATTACTTTTTAATTTCTTTTCTTTGTTTTTATTATCTTAACGTTTTCTTTCTTTTTATTAGCTACGTTTCTTTCTTTCTTTCTTTCTTTCTTTCTTTATATAATCTTGGTATTTTTCTTCTTTTATTCTTTCTTTCTACATTTTGTCTTTCCTTCTTTCTATTACTTTATCATTTCTTTTCTTTCTTTTTATTACATAAACGATTTCTTTCTTTTTATTATCTTGGCATTTTCTTCTTATTTCCTTTCCTTCTTTCTTTTTATTATTGTTATATACGGTACCTCTGAACACTTCTGGGTATGTCCCAATCCTCATAAATACGTTGGGAACTATTGTAAGTGTGTGTGTGTGGGGGGTAATATGGTGTCTAAGTAGTCCACCACTAGCAGTGGTTTACCTACTCCACGCCGCTGGCGAGTATTGTATTTTGTTAATCTTATAAAGATTACCATTTTATTTCCAATCTCCATTTGGTTATTCCTCATTCAGTAACCCTTTTTAGGTGACAGCAGCAAGAAAGACAGAAAGACAGACAGACAGACAGAAAGAAGTGTTTAAAGTTTCCTTTCAACACCTTTCAAAGAATGGTCAATTCCCTTTAGATCGCGTGGAAAGAAGGGAAAAGACAGTATTTGGTTTCCATAAAGAAAGAAAGAAAGTGTTATATACCGTACGTATGAAAACTGATGGATATGTCCCAGTCCTCATAAATGCATTGGCCACTATAGTAAGTGAGGGTAATATGCTGTATAAGTAGTTCACTACTAGCAGTGGTTTACCTACTTCACGCCGCTGGCGAGTATTGTATTTTGTTGATGTTATAAAGATTATCATTTCATTTCCAACCTCTGTTTTGGTTATGTCTCATTCAGTAACCCTTCATAGGTTAAAAAAATTATTTCTTGAAATAGATAATTTAAAACATGGGAAAATATTTATTTAGCAATAAACCCTGAGTTTAGTAAAATCTAACTTTTAGATTTCTGGTGCCTTTTCTATTTCTTATAAATATTGTCATGTTAAGTTAATAAATTAGTTTTTTTTCTGTTAAAGCGTCGTTCGTTGTTATAAAGGGTGTTCCAATAACTTGGACTGATTTTAAATGTGAATTAAGTTTAAGCATCTAATTTTGTTTTTTTTCAGATTTAACAACTTAATCCTTTGATTTTCAACCATGGAAAAATTAACAATCAAACAACGTGTTAAAGTTATCGAAGCCTATTACGAAAATGGACGAACAAACAGAATTTGAATGAGAAGTTCCCAGGTCTCATTATTCTCGAAACAGCGTTAAAATAAATGGCCAACACGATCGTGCGACTTGTTTTTCTTCCAACACAAATTATCACAAAAGGTGAACCTGAATTTTAAGCCAAACAATTCAATCAGATGAAGGATAGATTGATAATAATATATGCATGAAATCGAGATATTCAGATATATAAAAAGTTTTGACCATTGAATTTAAATATTTGAACGATATTATTTTAATTTATTGCCATATAAATAACATATTCAATATTTTATAAATATATTTTTACCAACAACACTGATTTATTTAATGCTGATATTGGAATCTTAATGAAAGACCCTTTAATCCATTAATCTTTCAGTTTTAGTTAAATATGTACATTTTTATATATATGAATATATAGATATATATGATATTTTTATATACATATAATGGATATGTTCGATATATTATTCAATATTGTTATATTCCATTATATTTATGATTTTTTTAAATGTAGATGGGCCTATCATTTCCTATTTTATATAATATGTTGCGGTTAGGAATTTAATATACTTCCATATTTTAAATTGGTCTTAACTGAGACATGGTAAAAATCATTTATTTTATGAGTTTTCTTGATATGCATTTTTAAAGATATGTCAATTGTAAATTTAATGAATTTAAAATTATTTGTTTTATATATCCCAAACCTTTTTTTCAATTTTTTTTGAATTTTACCCCAAATCTTAAGGCCTCCGAAAGCCAATTGAAAGGGAAATTAAAAAAATTGTTGTAAAAGACAAAAGAGGATAAAAAAAAAAAAAAAAAGAATAAGAGAAAACGATCCATCTGAAGACGTCGATTGACATTATTGAATGGCGAATATCAGGAAACAGGAATATTGTTCTTTGGTAGAAGTAAAAAAATTTTGTCTATTCCAAATAAAGGTATGACCAGCCTTTACCAGTTTTCAACAATAAAGCATGAATTTTCATGTATAATAGTAGATTTTCGGCCAATAACAAATGGAAAACCTTTTTATTTTTTATCTGAATTTCAGGCCAGAAAGTATTTGTTAACAAATTTAGAGGCGATTAGAAATTTTAGTACATTGCCAAATCAAGGGCCAATTTTTTGCAAATCTGTCTTTTGGATTTTATCAAACCTAAAATGCTAATGAGACATTTAACTAAACAGTAAAAAACATTTAAATGAAAATGGTTGAAAATAACAAATGATCAGCTTTTTTTTGTCACGACAGGTTGAACCATGTAAACCTGGGATTTTTTTAAGAGATAAATTTGTTTTTTTTTTTTAGATACTAGAATATAGGGTTGTTGTGGTCTGTTTAAGGCCAGAAAATATTTTGAAGACGAATAGTTTAACAATGTATTTTTAACAGATATATTCAAAACAAGACTGTTTTTTTTTCAATCAAGAGTCATTAAACTTCTATGAGACGAAATTCAAAATCCTCAGCTAAAATTTATGAGAGATTTCATTCATATTGAAAATAATAGGGTTTACCATAACAATGGTTAATTTTTTGACAGTTATCAAAACTCTTGATAATTATGCAAAAGATATTTAATTCGATTTTTTATCCACTGTCGAGCCTTGTCTACCAGGAAATGATAAAACGACATTCAAATTACCCTACAGGAAAAAAAGCGTCAGTATAGTATTTATCAATCCACCCACGAGGATAGAATGTGGCACAAAGTTCATTTTTGTTTGGGTAACCCCGAATCAAATTTATTTAAAAAAAAATAATTTTTTTGAACCCACCTACTAAGGGTTCAGGGTGAACTACCTCCCCGGACGAAACCTTGCCCATCGGCAAAGCTCGTCCGGGTTCCTTTGCTAAATAATGCAGAGAGTTCGACAACGCCGACTCATGAAGCTCACAAAGGCAAATTTTTAAAATTTGATCCTAGCTTCCAAACCGAAAAAAAGTGATCAGTATTGTGTCCTAGTTTTCCTGGGTAAAAAAAAAATAATTATCGGATCTCTAAACAGAGAGACCGAACGAAAGGCGTGGAGGCGGATATTCTGACGTTGAGTTCTTCGCGAATGTGGGCCCCGAAGAGCGATTCGACCCGATGGACCTTAATAAGAACATTTTAGTATCCTAAAATCTAAATGATGTGTGAAAAATGGAAAGTCATAAAATTCTTAAACAGATTTTAATAGAGACATTTTTTAAGTGTTTTTTTTTTTTTCCACCTAAAATTAGATTGTATTTGTAGGTCTCCCATACCAAACAGCCATACGTCTTGCAGTTTTAAAATGAATAAAGGGTACCGCTTTCTTTGTCAACGAGAATTATTAACAGTCTGGTGCGCAAATTCGTTAACCTATCAATTTCACAACAGAATAACGTCACCATATATCTATATCTATATCTATATATCTATATCTATATCTATCTATCTATCTATATATATATAATTATTTTTTATAAAAAAAATTATAACATAAGTATGTTATTAAAATCATATATATATATATATATATATATATATATATATTATATTTTATAAAAAAAATTATAATAAGTAATAATGTTATAAAATCAATATATATATATAATTATTTTTTATTGAAAATTATAACATAAGAGGCGTT